CGATGGGCTGAATTGCACAAAACGCATGATCGCACTGGCTAGTCTGGTGCGCGTTGCCATTTATTTTAAATAAAATGCTGTTTTGTTTTGTTGGCGTTAGGCACCGCGCAATTCTCTTAGATACGCCCGTTATGGGACGGACTTTTGCAGTTTTTCTGATTCGAAGTGCTTGGTATCAAGCGTTTTGTCTGTGCAGTTGCTATCGTAGGCAAATTCAGAGGATGGAATGGGGAAAGAGAGGGGCAGGGAGAGGGGGGTGTGGGTCCTTTGCCCTCCTCCTCCCAGCGGCACAGGTAGCAGTGCTAAAACTACAGGAAACTTTCTTCCGGTCGCTTTCCAACTCCCTCTCCTCCAGGAGCCCCACTTTCTCCCGGGAGGCCGCCCTGGAGCCTGTGGATGTTATCCGGATTTTGGCAGTATCAAAGTCAGTACAATTATCGAAATGGACGCGATTTCAAATGACTTACTAAGCTGCTTTTTACGAAGCTTCGCCCGCAAATCTCGCATGGATATGTTCCTTCGCCTTCATCTGGCAAGTTCGCTAAAACAAGCATAATCTTTTGATACTTTTGAGCACCAATCCGATGTGGCGTAACAGGCTTTTTAAAAAAATAAAGCGTTTAGCTAAAGTAAGAGTCGGGCTTTTGTCTGTTCCGGTCTTTGTCTCATGCTGTTATTGTTGTTATAATTATTATTATTATTTGTTGCTGTCACTATTATTGTTGTTATTATTATGTTATTTTCTTTATTTGTGTTATTATTTTTTTAAAATTGGTACAAGGATTTGAAAATAAATGTATTTTTTATTTGTCAAGTTCCGTCAAAATGTTCAGTCATTCCGACTAGTGGAGGCGCATTTCCGAAGCAAAATCTCGTATAAGCTACTTTGTATCTGATTATTTCTGAGAAGCGTACTAAACATTAGAGTTGCTAGCACTCGTTTTATCTGCTTTACAGTCTCCCCGCCCCCTCCCTTTCATTTACCCGGTAATGTCATTTTTACCCTGCCAAACCGGTTCCATTTGGGCAACATAAACAAGTCATCGGTATACGGCAATAAAAAAGGGTGATGTGGCCACGAAAGTAACCTACGAGACAAAAACTAGGAGTAATTTCAGATCTCATAATTGACAGTGTTTTAGCACATCTGCCTATTTTTATCATTTGTGTGTGCTTTGTGAAAGAAAGTTTGTTAAAATTTCAATGCTTTAAGATCGGTGAATACTTACCCATCTGCAGGAAGCTTACTTCCTGTGGCAGTTGTGCGGTAAATGGTTGCTCAAGGCGGGAGTAGTTCAGTACACAGCGATAAAATTAGCAGCAGTAGTAGCTTCGAGAATGATTCGGAGAAATTGGAACAAGCGTAGCGTAACTATGGGCAGCGAAAGCAGCACACCGTATTCGGCCCATTGCAGTCGGCGTTGCCAAGCGCTTACCTCCTCCAGTAGTTGCCTGGAAGCCGAGGCCTAAGGCTAAAACAGCATATGCACACATAAATACACACACGTGCATACTGCGCATTGTGCGACCGCTCATAATATTTGCATTATATGTATAGGCATGTAGGAGCATTCCAGTAACATCACTGATAGGGGAATTCTACACTGATAGTATTCTTACTATTATGTAAGTGCTATTTTCAAAACTCTAATAATAATCATTCAATGAGGCTGAGAGTGCGGCCTTTATAAAACCTTAATCATATGGAATTTAATAACTGAATGGCTTCTTTACTAAATGCGACATTACACCACAGCACAGAAGAGAGAAAGGGAAGGGGGACGAGGGACGAGCCTCGTTTCAACAACAAACATATAAGGCTTTATTTTTTTTTTAAAAAAAATTAGTAGCCTTCGTGTTTGTAGGCATTTCATGCAGCGGCTCTAGCTCATTTATCAGACAACCGTCGGAATCAGGAACTAGTGTAAATACCCTTTTTTGACTCTCACTGCAATAAAAATGTGTTAACTTATGGGTGCAATGTGAAAGCGATGATATTAAGTTAAAATGAGCCAGTTGGGATAGATCTACAAGTTTGAAAGCTTTAAAACGTGCCATTAAAATTCATAGAATCCATAATATGCAAATTTCTGAAGCTTTTGAGCACAGATTGTTCGTTCTGTTTTTAGTCAGACTAAAACAAAGCGGTGTAATGCATTGGTGAGTTTTTTTTTCTTCGAAAGGGAGATTAAGGTGCGCTAGTGTTTAGTAATCTGCATGCTTTTTGTTGCTTAACTTATACTGCGTACTAGTCAACTTGTAACACTTCACATGTTACTGCGGGAAGTGGCATGTCACCGTGTTTATAATCTTGAAATGTAAGAGTTAACTAAAAAGTAAAAATTCAAGAAGTGCGCTGCAATTTTCAGTATGCACTGCTTAGTGATTTTGAGGTTTGGGGATACTTTTCCGGTAAGTTGGCCTAATCTAAATCTTAGATATCGAATAGGTCCAAGGCTTTCTCAAGTTCTTTACACTTTTTTTGCAACAGGCTACAACTAGGGTCAACTCGTGTGATCGGTCTATCGTTGTTGGCAGCAGCCACAGGTAGTGGGCAGTTCGGCTATCAGAATGCTCTGCATACGATGGATTATGAAAACAGCTCGTATTACGGTGATTTTCTGTTACAAAGTACTTCGTATCACGCCGGCTGCTTTTTCGGTTTCATTGCCTTCTGCTTTATTGGACAGCTAATTGGGGTAAGTTCTTTTTGAAGATCTTTAATTTCGGGGAGCAGCTGTAGGATGATTGAAATCCAATTAAGTGGTTTGTGGAAAACAGAACAGTAACAAAGATTTAAACATTTCAAAAATTTCTTCAACATATTAAATCTGTCTCACAGTGGGTTTAAGAATTCTTGCTACTGTGTCCGAATCCTGCTGGACCTGGCCGTACCTCACTTTATTGGTTTCCAGGCTGTCCAGTTTTGATATTTCAAAATTACGGCTTGACCTTACAATTGCCATAGATGACAACATCATTTAAGCACAGTATTACTTTGTGCGGGCTTCTTCCTTCAAAATAGGGAGTTCAAATCTCTTGCAGAAAACCCTGATGCTCTCATTTCGGGAGGGGGGTTTTTTTGATGTCCAGCTTTGAAGGGCTACCTTTCTAGTTCTAATTGCCTTAAGATACCGGCAAATACTGTTGTAGACTGGATTTTGTAAACTTACACCTTTGTTTGTTTTCCAAAGATTTTCCAGTCTTTGAGATATTACTAGCTGTTAGTAGAAATTTCCAAAATTTTACTGATTTTCACTGGATTTGTGCAGAATTTTTTCATCCATCCCGAACGAAATTCCAAAACTCGATTAACCAGTGGTACTTACACGGAAAGATAAACAAAAGAACAGTGATGCATTGCAGGTCCATTACAGTGCCTCTCATGCTTGTTTGCTAAATTCACGATTTTACCAAATTTGGAATAGCTTATCGGAAAGACCGTTAGCATTACCGTATTTCTGAGGGGTAGAACTGAAAAAGTGAGTTAAGGTTCGCAGTGGAATACGAGTGGGTGCATTGTTGCTTGAAGTCACATCGTTGTGTTCGCTGGCCATCGTTAGCGATACTGCTCGTCTTGCAATGATTGGCTGGCGATTCTGTTTCGGAATTTCGTCTGGATTTTTCATTTGCTTTCAAACAGTCCTAATCGATGACATATCACTGGACGAATATCGCCTCAAAATGCATGCCCTTAGTGGTAATTATCAAGTTTTCACAGTAACACACCTGTAACGAGACC